TAAGGGAAATCACTTCCCTGGACTCAAACTGTACATGATATGTTACCTGCAATGAATATAACATCATGCTAATTCTACCACACTCACTCAGAATACCAGATGATTGTCCCTAGAAACATGGACATATAGAATTTGACTTTAAAAATGACTTCAATAAGTCAAGAGTTTATGCTGGTGATACAAAGTGAGTTATACAATTAAAAACTAGGGAGATGAAAGTGTTGTATTAACAGCATTCAAGAAAAGATCAGTAAGTTTAGAGCTGGAACCATATTGGAAGGGGTATCTAAGACCAAGTGATTAACCAGGGTATAATGAGTTTCTGCTGCCTGAAAGTCCTATTGAACCTTCTTGAACAATATTTTCCCACTCAGTCCAACAAAACAGAAAATAATTCTTAAGTAGGATTTCTAAACTCTCTGTTGATGTCAAATCTGGCTTCTGGCTGGACAAGAAAATTACACAGTAACTTCTGAGTTGATCTTAGCCTAAGGGGTGAAAGAAATGCTCAGTGTACCTTTTGAGTTTTCTAGGTATCTAACAGTACTAAGGTTGCGAAAACCCTGTAGAAACAAAATGCACAGAAACTCGTTCTGTAACCCTGAGTAATCCTGACACCCCATAATGCACACTTCACAAAGAAATCTCCTTACGGCCATAAGAAGAAAGATTTAGAAATAAAGTTAAATGAAGATAGGAGCCTCTTTTGCTCACAGAAGGGAGATCAAACACTCCATAGAAATATATGTTACAGTGCAATTGCCCTCTGGGAGTCACAGTATTATGAAAGTCTAACTTAATTAAGGGGAAAAAAATAGGTCACATTTAATAACCACATATGTGACACACCACTTTGACTACATAGAAAAAGTGAAAAAAGAAAATGATAGAAGAAATCAGAAATATAAGAAAGACATTAGTGGAATACATCAGTCTCTGAGTCAGGTAAATGTTTGTTTTAGTGTGCATAATGAAAATTCACTATTCTTCTAATTTTCCTCTTTGAAAACAATGGTAATATATTTTAGAAAGCAATTTGTAATGATAAAAGAAAGAAAAATGAAATAACCTACACAAAAAAAATTAAAAAAGAACAAAAGAACCAAACTGAGGTAACAAACAGTTTTCTCATAAAAATGTGCCATGTGTCTATTTCTTTCTCTATGTCATGTTATCAAATGTAAGGTCATCCCATACTAGTGATCCCTACATGAAATCTTCCCCCTTTCAGGCTTCCATGTTCCTGTGGGGTCGAGCTAATTACAGGCACATTTCCTCTAGAAGACAGTCACACTCTCCACTGTGGAAGCCATGATTAATAATGGAACAAAGCTAGTTGAATTTTATTTTCCTTCACATGGCTTTGCTGTCACACAAGGAGTTAGTCTCTTCCTCCAGTGTCTCTAAGAAAGACTTGCATGATAGGCTAAAAACAATTACCCTGTTTCCATAATTTGAAAGGAATAACCACACACACACACACACACACACACACACACACTCAGGCACATACACAGAATCCTAGTTGTCTTTATAAAATAGCTAAGGCAAGTTTTTCTCTTCTGTCACTTGGAATATCATTTTGATCCGGTGTTTATGTAGGTCAATTGTGAAAGAGATGAAAAGCGTAAGCTTGGCAATCAATAGACATTGTAAGGGTGGATGGTGGTTGTCTTTCACTCTGCAAATATATGAGAGAGCTCCTTTTGCATGTACAGGAATAGATTCTGACCCACAGAGAAGGCCTGGATAGATGACTAGAAAAATAAAGTTTTCTTGAAATGTCTGAAGGGCATGGATGAGAATAGAAAATCCTTGTCCTATGTCCTAAGTCTTGAGCAGCAATCTATGAACATTTTTCTAAAAGACCAGATAAAATATATTTTTTTTAGTCTTTGTGGGCTGGGAAGTTTTTGTTGTTGTTGCAAATGTTTGTCTGCTGTTTTAGAGTGAAAGCAGCCATAAACAATATGCAAATATAAGAGTACGGCTATATTTCAAGGTAACATTGTGTATGCACACTGAAATTTGGATTTCATATATCTTTTACTAGCAAAAAGTAGACTTCTTTTTTACTTTTTTCTACTATGTAGCTATTCCAAAAATATTATTAGGTGGGGGATATGGCTTAAGAGGTAGAGCACCTGTCTAGCAAGCTTGGTGCTCTAAATATAAAATTCCACTTATCCATGCTAAAATAAGAAGGTATTCTTGCTAAGGTATTACATAATTACATAAATAAAGCATACTGGATTTGGCCCATAGGCTTAGCTTGATGCCCCTGATATTGATTATTGGGGATCCTAGTGAGTATATAAAATTTTGTAGGTTATTTTAAAACTCTAGAGTTCTCTCAGTATATGAAAATATTCTTTATCTGAAAGATAATGGTTGTTCCCTTGGACTTTCATTGACATGAAGCATAGAAAGCAGTGTACTTTAAGTTTCAAATCAGATGTTCATTATCATGAAGATGTTTGTATTAGAGTTAGTCATGAAGCTCTAAACCAACAGACAAACAGCCTTGAAGCTTTGGTTCCCAGAACTTTTCTAAACACAAAGGACAAAAAAATAATCCATCTTTAGGCTCTACTCAGCAATTGCATTTCCTCATGAAAATACTATTTTACTAGCCAGTATTCTACCAAAGGAAATAATGTCCTTCTATTAATATATCTATTAATTGACCATAACATTAAGGTGTTTTTATTTCATTATCTATTTTACCTTTGATTACCTATTTTATCTTATGATTAAGATTAAGAGATTAAAAATAGTATGTTCATGTAAACTCCTAAATTAAAGATTAAAAAGGACAAAAGTATAAAATAATGGTAAGAAAACAAGAGAATAGTCTGTAAATCAACTGCTATTCCTAACTCCTAAGTAATTTCTTCAAGATTTTATTTGTAATATTATTGATATGTAATTTATATATGTATATTTATATATGCATATATGCATATATATAAACATAAAGTATATATATACATGGGCCAGAAAAATGTCTCTATATTTATTAACAGTCAGTAGAATGAAGAATTCAAGATTATTTATACAAATTCACTGACTGCATTTACAAACACAAAATTATTTAGAAAAATAACAGAAATATTGGAAAGAAAGAATTTCCTTTAAAAGATTCTTCAAAATAAATGTATGCTAGGATTTTGATCATTTCTCAATAACAATACAGAAACACAATGATTTTAGAAGTTGTTTTGATAAAATAGGCCTCTTATTTTTATACTAAATGGCCAGCCAATAAAATAATGGCCACTTGGTACAGTGGTAGGTGTGTAGGTCAGGAGTTAATAGAATACCATCAAAGTTGAATATGCTCTGAAGTTTTAGTTCAGGGGAAAGACAGACATCTTCAGATTCATACTGAAGACAATCTTCTATATGATCTTATGAGACAATAAATTTGAAATTGATTCCCCAAATAAGCTTACACTGTATTGATTGTATATGTTACCAATAAGTGGCAATGCAAACATTAATAAGAACATCTTTTAAATAAAATAGAGATATCTGATAAGAATATCGTGCTAAATATTAGACCATGTCATAGGTTTGTCCAAACTTTACTTGGAAATTAATTTGGAGTATAAGGTTAAATGGTGGCCCCATGATCTCACATCACAAAATACAGAGGGTTTTTTAGGCCACTGTAACCAAACATTACTGGGACCCTTTAAGAAATATATCAGGATACCTCTTTCTGTATGCTTAGCTTGGCATGTTTTTAATGGAGTTCATTATCACATGAATACATTATAAATTAATTTCTAAACACTTTATGAATATTTAAGAAAATATCAAGACATGTGCTGGTGGCTCCCGCCTGTAATCCTAGCTACTCAGGAGGCTAAGATCTGAGGATCACAGTTCAGGAAATTCCAAGAAACTCTTATCTCCAATAAACCATTAGAAAACCAGAAGTGGCACTGTGGCTCAAGAGGTAGAGTGCTGTTCTTGAGCTGAAGAGCTCAGGGACAGTGCCCAGGCCCAGAGTTCAATCCTCATAACTGACAAAAAGGAAAAGAAAAAAAGAAAATATCAGACATACGCCAGGTAAAAGTTGAAGATTCTATATAGTTTTCAAATCACTTACCATGTTAATACATTTATGTTTTCAAATATTTAAATCAACACATTTATCAAACAAAAAAAATTCCTCTCTACTAAGCTAAAATCTATCTTATAAGAATATTGATCCACAGATCTTCTGGAACAATTGAATAGCAGGCTCCATTGTCAAACACAACTGAGTGAATCAATTGGTAGTGCAGGGGAATATGCATTCAGTTAATTCTATCTCTTTTGTTAGAATATTTAAATAATGCTGGAAATATAATGTTAGGGGGGATTGGAATCGAGTTACAATGAAGGTGATAAGAATATGGAAAAGCAGATGCAAAGAATATTCCTGGGATATTCAGATTTGTACTGAATAAAGCCAAAATCTGAGATGGATGATAAACTCATGTAGCTTCTTTCACCCCCATCTCCATAACTTCTGTCCGTCACAGAATTAGATGCCAAGTCATAGAGAGGAGAAGCCACAGACAATATTGTACTGTTCCTGACTAGTTTCTTCACAAATTGGTACATACTAGAAAACTAATAGTTGTCTAAAATCGAAGCAAAACAAACTTACAAAAAGATGTAAGTTCAATTCAATACATTGTCCCAAGTAATTCAACTACCAAATCAGCATACGTATTAGATGAAATACCAAGTCATTCAATGTTCCTATATGTGTTGCCTTGTGGGTGTAATATTGCAAGTGAAATATAATGTGTATATGCACTTAATATTATAGCTATGAACTTCATAGAAATGAACACATTTCTGAAGATTGCAAGAATACTATAACAGACCTGTCTGGTCATATGGTAAGCATCTTAGTGTCTTAAAAACATGAAGTGTTCTCACCATTTGACAACACAATCTTAACTAACATGTGACATCTTGCAAACTAGAGGGCTGCTTACCAGTTGGTGTAAGGTGTCTCCAGGTGATAACGGGTTCAGGGCGGCCATTGGCCATACAGACCAGGGTCACATTGCTGCCCTCATTCACAGTGACATCTGAGGAGATGTTGGAGATCTTTGGTGGAACTGTAAAGACAATAAATGGAATATGTAACCATGTCGTTAATGTCGTTAAAGCAGGCTTGTAGCAATGATCCATATAACTGGAGATAGGAAATTTAATTTTTTCCTGATTAATTTGAAATTTTGTATTAAGTGGCCAGGGTACTTTTAAGATCTCTTCTTGTTATCTTGTTATCTGCTCACCGAGTCTCAAGGTGAAAATACTTCCCACTAGGGACATCTGAGTGTTTTACAAAGTATCTGTCATCTTATAATGAAAAATCTTTACCCTGATTCCTACCAAGATAAATTTTATTTACATATGAGATGGTCTGTACATTTACATAAATTAATAACAAATTTTTCTCATCACAGTCACTCAAATTTTTATATATGATAACCACATATATATTATTATACCTACTATTATACCATGACCATGTATCATATATATGATGTATATCACATCAGGTATATAATATATAATGTAGTCTTCTCCATATGCTAAGACAATAAAAATATAGTTTAGTATAAGATTGCATCATTGTGTTAGTAAGATGCAGGATTTATGCATCTACTTAAATAAACCACACTATAATAACTATAATAGAAAGCCTCTAAATAGTATCATAAGGTATAAAAGGTCAGATAGTGTACTTGAAAATGTATATGATGGAATTAATAAGGCTCATTTAAAGAGATATAGACATTGTAAAACTACTACCCTACTATTATTCTAAAGACTACTGTCATCACTACTACTTACAATGTAATGATAGTTAACTTTAGTTAAACATACCTTTCATTACACCCTTATAATACCTAAGATACTGTGTAGGGTATGTACCAAGTATCGTCTCAGACAAAGTAAGGGATAATATTGATAAAGATGCAAACACTGACATGCTGAATTTAAACATCTTTGTACAACTACTTAAAGACAATAAAAGAAACAGACCATTTCAGTAGCAGCTTACAACTATGCTTTGAGAATCTTATTTGCTGGCTGGAGACTAAGGGCATCTATGGGGTTATATGTGAAACGCAGATAGAATTTCGAACTGGGCAGTCAGGGAGACTGCAAGGCCCACTCTCTTAAGTAATTCTTGAGTGAAATTTCATCTTCACAATCCAGGCTACCAGATGGCCAAAAATGACAGAAATTACTTTTTGGTGATGTGAAAAATGAGTCCCCAAGGGCAAGCTGTATGCCGCCTGACTTCCTTCATTAATGTTCGGGGTGGCAGCATGAGTGCCCATATTGGTAGGCTGAAGTGGAAAGCGTGGGGAGTGAATTACTCACAGATTTCATGATGGAGGTTATGCGCTGATTACAAATAGCAAGGTTTATGGATGCTTGTGATTTTTCTTTTTCCTTTCATAGTTTTCATAACTCAGTGACTATGCTATCATGGAGAAAGTATGTGTCTGAGGGAAGACAAGAAAGCACAAAGGACTTCAAGAAGAAATCTCCCCCCCTCTTTTTTTTTTTTTGCTCATTAGAGACTGTACCTTCCCAACAGGGACATTTTCTGCTTAAAGAAACAATTGCCTACAACAGGAACCAGTATACAAGGACACGTACACCTCCATGTTTACTGCAGCACTGTTCTCAATAACCAGGGTATGGAAACAACCCAGATGTCCCACCACAGATGAATGGATCCAAAAGTTGTGGTATCTATACACAATGGGATATTATGCAGCCATTAGAAAGGACAAAATAATGACATTTGCAGGGAAATGGATGGAGCTAGAAGAAATCATGTTGAGCGAGGTAAGCCAAGAGCAAAGAGACAAATGGTTCATGGTCTCTCTGATAAGTGGATGTTAAATCCAAAATGTTAGGTGATATGACAAAATTAACAGTACTTAAGAAACAAAGAACTTCCACACATCTGGTCGAACCACTTCTAAATAACCTCATGCTGCTGATCACATGTATGGTATATATGTGTACACCAGAGGGGAACCAGGAGGAAAAACATACAACAGCGGGATCCATTAGCTGCACAGGACATTGACCAAAATGAACTAAGCAACTCAATGGCAGTGATGGGAGGGAGGGAACAAATGGGAAGGAGGGAACAGCTGATGCTATGCAAAACAAAAGAAATGTACATACCACCCAATGTGGAAGAAATAACTGTATTGCAAAGCTCATAGAACTCATAAATGTTATAGACCGTGATAGACAATTTGCTCCAGGAAAGTTAGAATGTGTTTGTGACTTTAACTGAGCATCACTATCCCACAATACTGTGAAACTTCGGAAATTATGTAAACACTTAATCACAATAAAACATTTTTTAAAAAAACAATTGCCTGAAAATGATTAATTTCCCCAAAATCCAGACTATCTCTTGAAGGAAGCAAATGGAAGACATCCATGACCTCAGTGTTCCTCTCACAAGGACATTTTTGAGGACCTCTGGGTACAGAGTGATGACTCCAAATCTAGCCCAATGGTAGAGGCACATCATAGTTAATTCTCATAACTTAGCAATCTCTATGGTATTTATAGAGTTTCCATTCCTCCTTTAGCTATAGGGGTTAAGGGTTATTTTCCTGTCTTCATACATTGACTTGCAATGTGTTTCTCCCAGACTTTTAGAACAAAGACCTGAAAGGTCATACTCATTTTATTGGAAAGAACTTGAGGAAAAGAGATTAATGGCTTGTCAAGAATGATCCCATCAACCACTATGGCTGGACTTATGATTCAGAATTCCTAAGTGTCCAGATGTTCTATAGATTGATACTTACAGTTTCTAACTTCTAGCTGAGTAAGCTAGTGTTCTGAACATCTCCAAATAAATGACAATAAATCATTTGAAAGAACAAGCTATAAACATCTCAGGTGTCTTTCTCAACAATCCGACACTGTAAGAAGAAGCTCTGTGGTAATTATAAGAGCTCACATTATTCAAGTTGTAGTTACCTCTGAATTGTAATGCGGGCCATGGTGTAAAGAGAGAACATACAGACATTTTGCATTTTCATGTCATGGTGGGAAGCTACGGATCAACCCTACATAGGCAAGTGTTCATAAAATTAGAAATTATATGTAGAGTAATTGATTACAGGCTTAAGTTCACTGATTCTCTTAATTGAGGGCAATATAGTCAGGACCTTGTTCCTAGCAAAGAGACATGCAGAAACATCTATGCTGAGTAGTCAAGAATGGAACCATATGGTACCCTACCACTGGTATAGGTATCACTACTCACATGCCTCCATTCATTTTCTCTGTTCATTCATTTGTACTAGCTTTTTCACAGAGAATTTATATGAGATGACATATGCTTTTTGCTCTCATAAGAAATTACTTCTCGGGGCTGGGAAGGTGGCTCAGTGGTAGAGCGCTTGCCTTGCATGCGTGAGGCCCTGGGTTCGATTCCCCAGCACCACATAAGCAAAAAGGAAAAAAGTCGGAAGTGGCTCTGTGGCTCAAGTGGTAGAGCACTAGCCTTGAGCTGAAGAGCTGAGGGACAGCGCCCAAGCCCAGAGTTCAGGCCCCACGACCGGACCCAAAAAAGAAAAAAAGAAATTACTTCTCAAGGCTCATGCTGTACTGATAACTTTTGACTTCTCTTTTTAAATTTCTGGACACAACTGTGCTGTGCTACATCTTTGCTGCCTGAGCAACACTTCACACGTTCAGTGCCAAGTGGATTCCTTCCTCAGTCTCCAAAGAAACTGCTCCAAAGAAACAGTTACTATTTCTAGAGCTGTAAGCTACTTTCGTCATTATCTTACTTTCCACTGGAGACTTTAACTCTACTGATCACAACTTTTCTTCTAGTCCTTGCTTGTCTTTATTTCTAGGATAACAAAATGATTTCTCCTTTTACCCTTTAGTTAATTTTTCTCAGATTAACTTTTGGATTTACCTTGTTCATTAAAAGTCTGTATTTAAGAGTTTGATAACTGTCTTTTTCTCTTTACTACAATTTACCCATTTGAGTGTTATTACCCACATTGTAGCTTCAGAAGCTAATGCCATGCTTTTGTTTGTTTGCATTAGGTAATCAGGCTGGCTTTAAAGTCACCATTCTCCTGCTTCTCCTTTGGGAACGCTGGAACTAAAGGTGTGTCCTAACAGGACCTGCTAATAACATGCTTTGATTACTTCCAAAGCAGTATTGCTAACTCACACTTTTCTTCTCACTTCTGTCATCTTACATGTCCACTTGACTGTTGCCTATTTTTAGTGCATGTTTTACGAATACTCGCAAGTATTTGTAAGGTACACCCTGGGAAGGCAGAGCAGATTCCTCCCTCCTCTTGGTTAAGTCTCTGCCCAGTACCTGTGTCACCTAGGTAACCTACACACTTGGAGGCAGTCACCCCTCCTCCCTGAAGTCACATCGCATCCAGGGTGGCCACAACTTCGTCCACCCCTGGCCTTGATAAGTCGTGTCCAGGCTGTGGTTCGACACTTTATTCCTGCTGCGTGGGCTTCCAACTTGACTAGAGGTGGTCTACAAATAAACCTTTTTCTTGCCTGAATACCACGTGCTGCTCTCTTTTCTCAGCTGCCAATTTAATTTACCTAACACCATCTACCTCTTATGAAACACCACAGTCTGATTATTTTAGTGAATTATTGGGACAGTTTCTCTCCTTTATTGTCCCCATATAAAATTTTTATGTCTTCTCTATGTTAAATGTCTCTCAGATTCATTCATTATTCCCAAGCCCCCAGTCCCACTCAACCTTCTTTCAAATAACATTTCTTTGTTTTATATATATATATGTATATATATAGTGTATAGTGTATATATATAGTGTATAGTGTATATATATATATATATATATATAGTGAGAATTTAAACTAGCTCATTTGCCTTTAAGAATGCATCATGATGCATTCTCACTATCATCAAGAATATCTCCTAATCTGTAAATGTGAATATATTATACCTTGATTTATCTCATTGCATTTTTTTTTTGGTGGGTTGTGGGCCTTGAACTCTGGACCTGGATGCTTGCTGTTCCTGAACTCTTCAGTTCAAGGCTAG